TGAGATGCTAAAAGTTGGTTTAAAAAGACAGCCTTGTATGGGAATAGCCTAAATATCTACCAAGAGAAAACTGATGAAATCATGGGACATCCATGTCGTGGAATACTACATGGCAGTCTGAAAAGAATGAGGAGTGTTTTATGTGATCTGCAAAACATACTGTTAAGAGAAGAATAGGTTGGTCTGAAGGTAGTGAGTTATCTCACTTGAGTGTTCATAGTCAATTACAGATTTAACTTGTTCGGCTATTTCCCCCCTTTTCTCACCACTGCACTTAACTAGTCTTAAGGAAAAAATCAAGAGAATAACAACTACAGGATAGGAGGGACACTACACCATCAATTGTGTAAAAGAGGAAAAATATAACATACATAGTTACATTGTCTACACTTGATATCATTATTAGATTAGAGCTGAAGTCTGCCAGTTTTTTGTTTTCTGTTTCTTATTCTCCCGTTTCTTTTTTCTTATCTTCTTGTGCATTATTTGAACATTTTAAGGATTCCATGTTGATTTATGAATAGTGTTTTTGAGCGTATTACTTCGTACAATTGTCTTAGTGGCTGGGTATTACATATGCACAGGAGTGTGTGACTTACCACAGTCTATTGATATCAGTGTTTTCCAACCTGAGTGAAATATGGAAGTCCTACTGCCATTTAGGTCCCTGCTTAAATATCTTTGTCTTGGCATCTGATGATATTATAATTTTTGTACCAACCCTCATACATTAGTATAATTTAGGAAACTCATGAGGAGGATAGTCTTTTGTATTTACCCATATTTCTGCCTTCTCCCTTGTTCTTTCTTTCTTCCTGATGATCTAAAATTCCTTCCTTTATCATTTCCTTTCTTTTGAAAACTTCCTTTATCCATTCTTTTAGAGTAGATCTGCTAGTGACAAACTCTCTTACATTTCCTTCATCTGAGAATGTCTTTGTTTCCCATTCATTTCTAAAATACAGTTTCAGCAGATATAGAATTTACAGTTGACAGTTCTTTTCTTTCAGCACTAGAAAAAAGTGTGTCCCTTCCTTCTGGCCTTTATTGCTTCAGATGAGAAAAACGCTGTCATTCAAATGTGTATCCCCCTAGAAGTAACGTGTTGTTTTCTCTCTGGCTGCTTTCAAGATACTTGCTTTGTGTTTTAGTTTTCAGAAGTTTAATTATGGTGTCCCTGGACATGGATTGCTTTGGGTTTACCTATTGCAGCCCTCTGGGCTTCTTAAATCCATACGTTTGCATTTTTTGCAAAATCTGGGGAATTTTCAGTCATTACTTCTCTGAGTACTCTTTATTCCATTCCTTTTCTCCTCTCCTTCTAGGATGCCAATGCTACAAATGTTGGATCTTTTGTTGTTATCCCACAGGCTTGAGACTCTGTTTTCAGTTTATTTTCTCTCTGTTATTCAGACTGGGTACATTCTATTGCTCTGTCCTCAATTGCACTGATTCTCTCCTCTGTCATTTCCACTCTATTAGAAAGCTTATCCAATTCGTTTTGTTATTTCTGTTATTTTTCAGTTCTATAATTCCCACTGGGTTCTTTTTTAAAAATAATTCCTCTTTTATGCCAAGATTTTCTATTTTTTACATGTTTTGAGAGAATTTAGAATTGCTTACTAAATTTTGTTTTTTTTGGATGATAGTTACTTTAAAATATTTAACAGGTAATTCCAATATCTGGTTCATCTCAATGTAGAAGTCCGATGATTGCTTTTTCTTATTCAAGTTGTAATTTTCTTGGTTTTTTGCAGGGTGGGTACTTTTGATTGTATCTGGTTATTTTGGCTATTATGTTGATGATTCTGAAACCTATTTAAATTTTTCATTTTAACAGGCAGTCACCCTGTTTAGGTTTAACATGCAGGTCCTAGCCTACTTTTGCAGGTGGTTTCGATGACAATCTAATTTTAAGAGCCTTCACATGCTTTTCTGGACTCCTTGGTTTGTCTCCTGCCCCTGAGGCTCCCACAGGTCCTTGCTGGGGGTAGTTGAGGAGCAGAAAAGAGTTTCTCCAGGTTGGGGTGCCCTGGTGCCATTAGGTGAGGGAAGGTGTCTCCAGCCTGCAGGGACAAAAGCACTTCCTGGGCTGGATGCTGGTTGTGGTGGAGTCCCCTTACTAATGTCCTCTACCTAGTGGTGTCTCCAGGTCCCAGAGCTGAGTCTCAGGCTGTGGGGGGAAGCAGAGCAATTTCCCTGGCCAGTTATTATCAGGGGGTCCTGCCTCTTTCTGTTTCTGCTGGGCTTGTCTGGCAGTGTTGGCAGAATTGCTGCTCAATTTGGAGGAAAAATAAGGCTACCTAGATGCCTTCTGTTGCTAGATTGGGTGTTGGGAAAAGCCGAGCCTGCGCTACCTTTTGCTGGGGGTGCAGGGTCATAAAATGCCCTGCTACTGTGTGGTTCCTTTGGTCCTGTGATTTCTAACCAATTCACCTTCCTCTTTCTACCTTTCAGAGTTCTCTTTTGGTTGTCTCTGTGTAATTTCCGAGGTTTTTAGTTATGCTTGGCAGGGACAGACAGGGAGAGACTGGTCTACATTATCTTGCTTGGACCAGATGTTCTCTATATATGTTTACATAGGCATAAGGTCTCACTAGAAGAGAACACAAGGATTGGATAATATTGCTTTCCTGGAGAGGTGAGCTGGGGGATATGAGGTAAGAGGGAGGCTTTTTTATACACCTGTTTGTATGTTCTTATTTTAATCAAATGAATAAATATATTCTCTCTTCAAAAATAATAATAAAATGTAAAAGAAGAAAGAATACTTCTAAACTCAGCCTTATTGTCAAGAGCACAGCCAAGGATTGCAACAGAGGTCAAGCAGCGTATGGATTCAACAGCTGGTAATTTTATTAAATTTCTCTGACTTTTAATTTCACTATATTGTGACTGCTTTGATCCAGATCCCCGAATATAAGAATAATATTCTCAGTAGATTTTCAGCTTGCTCATACATTTTGAATAACTTGCAGAATACAAATGTGTAATTTAGATAGAAGTAGATGCTTTGGGCAGCATACTAGTACCCTAATCAGCTGAAAAATAATATTTGGTTGACATTAAAACAAAATTAATAGCAAGACACAAATTACATGAAAAGACTTTATGTTGTAATTATTAAACTTGCAAACAACTCAACATAATTAATGCCTTAATTAACATATGACCTGAAATTTTAGCTTACAAAACTGATAAAGACAATTAAAAGTCACATTTGTAAAGTAAAGTGGGTTTTAAAAATTACAAAGTAGTTGGATATCGCCTTTTTTTCTCCTCATTTAGGGGAACATTTTTGTAGGTATTATGTTGATTATATCAATTATAATGATTCCCACCCCATTCCCTAGCACAGTTTCTCAGCTTGAAGCCTCAAGAGTTTAGTTTAGTGACTTTCAGCCAAGGATGTCCACCCACATGGGGCTGGGCAGCTCCTAGGCGCAGGTCTTCTGTATAGATAGCTGTGGGACAAAATGGAACAGCAAAGACTTTTCTCTCCCTAGTACCTTAAGTGAAATATAAACTATGAGAGATAGACATTGACTTGGTCAGATTCCACCATTTCACATAACTATTCGGATCCAAATGGCAGTTTGCACCATTGTCATTTTTACTTTAATATGTTGCTTCTGGAAGGCATTTCAGTTCCCACAGTTTACCGCATGATGATGGTTCTAATCTAAGGCCAAGGAATATCCCATTACTAGAATTTCTAGGAATTTCCCATTACTACAAAAATGGAGAATTCAATAAACAATGGTGAGCTAGTGATTTGGAAAAATAAATAAATCTGGAATCCTGACTCTTTCCTTATGCCAAAGTAAACTCCAAATGGATGAAAGATTTAGTGTAAAAGCAAAATCATAAGTGTACTAGAAGGAGACAGGGGTTAATATCTTTATAATATTGTAATTGGGAGAGGGTTTTTAACCATAACTGGTAAAACAAAAGCCTTAAAGGAAATGACTAACACATTTGCCTACTTAATTAAAAGTTTTAAACTCCTGTACATTAAAAAAAAATGCCAATAAGTTTTAAAAACACAATTCAAGACCAAATCAAGAAGTAACTCTTTCATTTATATTTTGATTCATGTTTTCCTATAAAGGCATAGCTTTATTCCTCAATAATAAAATAAAGAAATAATTGGAAATATTAAGTATAGGAGAAAATTAAAAGAAATTACATGTTAAATAATAGCTCATAAAGTGACTAAATAAATTACAGAATAACTAATCATAAGCTGCAGCCATTTAAAATGAGAATATTTAATAACACCAAAATATTTTCATGATAGGACCTTGATAAAAAGAGAGGTTATAGATGAATACAATTTTATTTTTAAATGTATTTTATAGACAGAAAAGAAGACTAAAAGGAAACAAAATATCAATGACAGTTACCACTAGAGGTGGAATTCTAGATAAGTGTTATTGTCTTCATTTTTGGTCATATGCAAACTCTCTACAATAGGCAGTTATTTTTGTATTCAATATCTTTTTTATTCCTTAGAGCTTTAAATAGAAGGATATTTCAAATATCCTTCTATTAATAGAAGGATATTTCAAATTTTCCACAAATAGCTAACTAGATTAGGTATGAAAGATTAAATTAATGGTTTAAAAAGTGTAGCTTACAAATACAGCAATTACACCAAACCTCTACTTATTTTAAAAAGATGTTATATTCTATGGGTTAAATTACAGCTATTGGTTGTGGTTGGTTCTCTCCGTCTGTCTTTCTCTCTCTCTCTCTCTGTCTCACTGCAAGTTGCCCTTTCCTAAGGTCTGACATTCACCAGACAGTTCTTTCATAAAATCAGTGTCATGCCTGTCTCTTCCTAACTGCCTATGTTGTAGACCAGGGAACATGGGGCCCAAAATTCAGATTACCTCATCTTGGCAAGAAGCATTTGTCTTTAATTGGAGGCACCTTCCATTTATAAAGCAACTATCACTAGTAGCACAGGAAATGTCATCATTGAACTTCCTCTGTACCTGTAGGTTTTCTTAATTTCTTCATTTGATGCTCCCTTTTGCAGACCAAGAATTTCATATAGAGCTTCTCCAGTTGTTGACAGAGTCCGCTGTCTTTGGTTAGGTGTGTTACATGCCATTTTCTCGGGCTGCAAAACCAACGAGGGGAAAATAGCCATGAAGGGTATGCACACTGGAACCTACTCTCGAAAGGGGAACACAGTTCATTTTTGACCTGTTGTAAATGATAATATGAAGTACATTTGTGTGCCTGCTGCAAAAGGAGGGGACGAAAGAGGTAGAAGAGCCAAAAGCAGAGCTTTGAGACAGGGTGTTAAAAGACATAGGCAGCTACTCAAATGGAATACAGCCTTGTCCCCATGACTCAATAGAAGTGAAATGTTAACTAAACACCTAGCTAATTCAGCATTGTTGAGAATCAATCCTCACAAGTCAGGCAAAAGTAGGGTTTTTGTTGTTGTTGTTGTTATTGTTGTTGGAATTTACCCAACTTCTTTTTTGTATGTTTTCCAAATATAGCCTACAATGGAAGTGGTCATTCATTTCACTCCAACACTACTGGCTCACCTATTGTAAGAGTTCCCTTAAAAAAACCTTTTTATGCCTGGGTGTAGTGCCTCACATCTATAATCCTAGCACTCTGGGAGGCCAACTTGGAGGATTGCTTGAGCTCAAGAGTTAGAAACCAGCCTGAGCAAAATTGAGACCCAGTCTCTGCAAAAAATAGAAAAATCAGCAGGGTGTGGTGGCACATGCCTGTAGTCCCAGCTATTCGGGAGGCTGAGGCAGGAGGATCGCTTGAGCCCAGGAGTTTGAGGTTGCAGTGAGCTATGATGACACCACTGTACTCTAGCCCAGGCAACAGAGGGAGACTCTGTCTCAAAAAACAAAAACAAAGAAAACAATTTTTTTAAGTATCAAGAAAAAAAATTCCTAGGTTAGTACTTCTCTGCAGCTGTGGAATTCCAGAGTCCTCCCCAGAGTGCTTGAGGGTTTCTGCACGGGAGATAGCTCCTTTCCCCAGGGTCTAGCCAGAAGGGGTTGGGCTGTCCCAGGTCCCAAAGAACTATGTGACAGCTGCATTCTGGCTCTGACAGAGAAACAAGCCCACCTGGGGCAGCGCTCCTGTATCTACCACTTAACCTCTCTGAGCATAAAGTCTTCCCCTGTAATATTAATATAAGTATAGTAAAGCCCATCTTATAAGAATACTTTTCTTATAAGGATTTAGAAATAATGCCTATGATGTATCCATGACACAGCAGGTTCACATAAAAAGGCAACTGTTTTTATTAAAGCAGCACAGTGTGCCATTCAGACAGCCACTGTAGTCAGACCCTCCATGTTGGAATTCCGGCCTTGCCGCTGCTGGCTGCATGACCATCTCATCGATAAATTTGAGACAAAAATATGCCTGAACTCATGGAACTGTTGTAAGAAATAAAGGAGTTAATATATTTTTAAAATATGTACCAATGTTCATAGAAGGATTATTCACAAAAGCTGAAAGGTTTAAACAACCTGTGCCCATCAACAGATCAATGAATAAATGAAATGTAGTATGTGCATAAAGTGGAATATTACTAAACCATAAAAAGAAATGGAACTCTGATACATGCTAAAAACATAGATGGACCTTGAAAATATTATGCTCAGCGAAATAAGCCAGTCATAAAAGGACAAATATAACATGATTCCACTTATCTGAGGTGCCTAAATTAGGCCAATTCTTAGAGACAGAAGGTAGAGGTTGTTGCCAGGGGCCGGGGAGAGTGGGGGGTGGGGAGTTACTGCTTACTCATCCCGGACAGAGACTCTACCTCTATGACAAAAAGCTCTGGAAATAGATGGTGGTGATGGTTAGATAACATTGTGAATATACTTAATGCCACTGAGTCATACACTTAAAAAAATGATTAAAATGGTACTTTTCATGTTATGTATATTTTATCACAAAATAAGAAAATGAGACTGCAAGCTCCCTTGACCAGAAATTCCTCGAAAATAATTATCCATCCCTTGGCCTTCTGTCTTGTGCAGCAGCTGCTGGAAGCATGAACGGATGGGAACGAATGAATATGCCAGGGCTTAGGAGATGGTCAGGGCTTTGAAGACACTCACATACAACACAAGGAACCCCTGGTGACAATGACGGTGGCAGCAGAGCCAGGTGTGCACATCCCAGGGGTGGGGGCCGGGGTAGAACAGACCTCCCAGCTCTGCTCCCTCCAGGCTAATGAGTGCCCCCACAGGCAGAGGTGGCGGCTGCAGGGTGTTATCTGGTAGGTCCGGGTGGTCTTAGAGGACCCTCAGATCCCAGCGTGGTACTTGAGGGCTGGTGGGCCTAAGCAGTTCCCTTAAGAACAATAATGTAAAGAACTTCACAGTGTTTTTGTGAGCCCTCAGCTTCTTGAGAGAAGAAAAGGAAGGAAGTTCTGAAGGAATTCAGACATCAGGTAAAAATCCTGCCGCCCCAAAGGCTCTGAGGACAAAACTGGCCTACTTGAGAGTGAGATGGCACGAGGACAAGCATGGGACACGTCTCCATTGCCTCCTCCTCAGTTCACCTCCCACCCAACTGGAGCCCTGGAGGCCAGAGCGGCTCTAGTCCCAAATCCCTGGTCCCTACTAGGAGAACCTTCATCCTACCCACCACAAAACAAAACCAAACAGATGTGCATACCAGCTGGCAGCTGCTCGATAGACTGCTTCTTTCTTTTCTTTTCTTTTCTTTTTTTTTTGAGATGGAGTCTCGCTTGGTTGCCCTAGGTAGAGTGCAGTCACTATAGCTTACTGTAACCTCAAACTCTTGGGCTCAAGCAATCTTCCTGCCTCAGCCTCCCGAGTAGCTGGGACTACAGAGTGTGCCACAACCCCTGGCTAATTAGAGTCTTGCTCTTGCTTAGGCTGGTCTCAAACTCCTGAGCTCAAGCAATCCTCCTGCTTTGGCTTTGCAGAGTGCTAGGATTATAGGCGTGAGCCACCATGCCCAGCCATGGATTGCACTTATTTCCATTACTGCATTCGTTACCTGACTTTTTCCAACTACCTGCATTTCCCAAGGGGGTAGGCCATGCAAGGCTTCGGGCTGAGTCACTCCTCCCCATGCTGTGTAACAATCCTGTGGCTCAGCCCTATCTTGGAAGCTCAGCCCAGCTGACTATTGGCAATTGAAGGAAGAATTAATTGCCTGAGTAACTGACGCCCTCCCTGCTCCCTTTCCTGTCCCCTCTCCCCTGCCCCACCACACACGCGTGTCCTCAGGGAACTGCTGTTCGGCCCCGCACATCTGCCTAATGGTTCCCAGCACTGAAGGCAACCAGCATGCTTCTCGACAAGTCCTGAACAGGGTTTGGAAAGCAGGGATTTCTGTGTGGCTTGTAGACCAGCAACAGGACCAATCACCCTGCCAAGCCCTCTCACTGGGATTTCAAGACCCAGCTGGGTGGCAAGATCTCCACAGTCACTGGATGCTGGAACTAACAGAACATCCACAATCCCTCCTCTGGGTTTATAGCCAAAGGAAATGAAATCAGTATCTCAAAGAGACCTCTGCACCTACATGTTTATTGCACCATGATTCACAATAGCAAAATTATGCAATCAACCTTAGTGTCCATCGACAGATGAATAGATATGGAAAATTTGGTGATTATACACAGTGGAATACTATCCAGCCTTAAAAAGAAGAAGAAAATCCAGTCGTTAGTGACAAATGGATGAACCTGGACATTATGTCAAGTGAAATAAGCCAGGCACAGAAAGAAAAATACTGCATGATCTCATTCATACGTGGAATCAAAAAAAGTCAAACTTACAGAAGCAGAAAGTAGAACGGTGATTACCAGGGGTTGGAGGGAAGGAGGCTGGGGAGATATTGGTCAAAGGGGACAAAATTCCGATTAGACAGAAGTTAAGTTCAGGAGACCTGTTGTACAACATGGTGACTATGTTTACAACAATATGTTGTGTATGTACTTGAAAATTACTAGGAAAGTAGATTTTAAATGTTCTCTCTCACCACAAAAAAAGATAAAGATGTGATGTAATGCATATGTTAATTAGTTTGATTTAACCTTTCCACAATGTATACACATATCAAATGATCAGGTTGTATACCATCAATGTAAACAATTTTTATTTCTCAATTTAAATAAATGCATGAACATAATGATTAAAGTCCTAGGACTACAGAATACGGAGTTAGAAGTTATCTAGGCCAGCTTAACAAAGGCCTTTTGGGGCATTCTGGCCAGAGACCACTGCAGTAGATACTTTTCCTATTAGCCAATTGTCTCCCTTTCCTGGGGAGTGCATAAGTCCCCACTGCTTCGTGTGCTTTTCCTGAGACCTGCCTCCCTCTTACCCCATCTCAGCTGAGTACACCAGGAGTGGGTACCTGACCCAGGCCAGACCTATTAGAATCCTTCCCTAGGATTTTTAAAATATAGGACACTCTCTTAGATGGTGAAACCTCTAAAACATAACATCTGAGTACTGTTGCCTGCCCTGAAAGGAGAGAGGTTGAAACTGTAGACGAGGAGCAGGGCCGGGGACAGAGAGAGAGCCTCAGTTGTTCTCAGGCTCTAGTTCCTGTTTCCAGCTGCTGTTGGGTCCACTTGCAACTCTTACCCTCCGACAGTTTTCTCATCAATCCTTCCTTGGGTTGAACCAGGAAAATTCCTCCCCATACACACATTTACACACATTTTCTTTTCTTTTGAGTGTGTTTTAGCAAGGTTTTGGTTGCTGTCAACCAAGACTCTTAAGTGCCATATACTCTCTTGATTAAACATGGGTGTGGTTCCCTGAGCACCTCCACGCCAGGATAATCCACTGTGGATTTTTCTTAAATGACTGCACCTACTCCTCCTTTAAGTTGAATATAGCTTCCAGGTACTTGGGAAAGAATACCTTGGAAAAATCACAGTGATATATAAATATATTAAACCAAACAGATTCAGATGTATTATGTAGACATTTCTAGAACAGATAAGAAGTGATAAACCTGGGTCGAGGTACTTTCATGAGGAAAGTGAGTGGACAGCCATTCAAGAGAACTAAGAAGAAATAAGACAAACAGTTAGCTTTGCTTTATAGGTTTTTCTCTATATCCAGCATCCAGAAG